ATGAGACAAACCAGGTCAGCCAATCTCTTCTTCTCATTGATCGGCGCTCGTGCAGCACCCGCCTTGTGCCAATCATGCCCAGCCCCCACTCTGATTGTGAAATCCGCTTTTGCCATTGAATCGGTGCTGGGAGCATCTCATCTTGACATCCTTGCCCGACTCACAGGAGGTGGTGGAGAAAGTTTGCGATGAGGACCTACGCATGTGGAAACCAGAGGGCTGCCCCGATGCCATCTACGACCTGATGATGCAATGCTGGGAGGAAGAGCCCGATGAGCGTCCCAGCTTCAAGGCCCTCCACGAGTCGTTGACGGTTCGCACCTGAAGAGGCTGGCACACGGCTGTCCGTTGTACTTCTCATTGACACACCAGCAACCTCGACGCCCGCTCAAAGCCATGATGTGCATCTTTGACCTCCAATGCTTAGGCGTATCACAAAAAGGCCAATCGTGCCACCATTGTGACTGTGGATGACGACGAAGGAGCTGCAGCCGCAGCCGACGAGTACTCTCTGCCACAAGATTCCATCATTCGCATCGCTGCTCCGCAACCCGACGATATCAGTACGGCCTGAGTTTTGACGTGATCGGATCATGCCTGCCGCAAAGCGACTGCCGCGTTCGCTGTTGGGATCTCATTTCTCAATCGTGTGGTGCCACAGTCGAGGATTGGAATCCATATGGTCTCGCTGATGTGGATATTGCCAATTATGGCCTTGTTGGCATGAACGCACCACAACCACCGCGCCCACGCCCAACTGCCGAGCCTGCCGAGTATTCGATGGCTTCAGCCCCCAGCGCCGCCCAGGATGACGACGAAGGGCCGTCGTATGAGATGACGGGCGGCAACCGCGCGGCCCCCGTTTTGTATGAAACCACCGAGAGCAAACAGGCTCGCACCGAAGCGCCGCTCTACGACACGGCTGAGGTGAGCCGATCCTGCTTTTGCGCTGGCCTTGAGCGTATGCAGTTTCCTTACGCGCGATGGACTGACCGCCCCTTAGGCTGAGCGACGTCCCAGCGTGACACCTTATTCCAAGCACGGCATGCGCAAGGATGAGGCTGCCCAAGTCATGATTGCCTGGTATGTCGGTGCTTCTTGGCGTGTCATGGTTTGGTTCCCCCTCTCGTTGCTTGCGTCATGTGTTGGTCCTTGTTCATAACTGACGGATCTTTTTGCTTCTTCTTCTTCCTCCTCTTCTTCCACCTTCCTCTTTCCACTTGCCGATTTCCTCTGTGCCACCTGTCAAACGCACGGGTCATTGGCTTTGTCGGGACTGCTTATCACTGCTCCCAGGGTGGAAAATGTCACTGGCAAGACCAAGCCCGAGGGCGCTGACATGCATGCTTGGCTTAAGGATGGACAGATTCTCTGCGAGCTCATGAACAAGCTGCAGCCCGGCTCAATCAGCAAGTCAGTTGATCCCTTTGGCAGATTAGCCCCCGACATCCGTTGGAAATGGCCCAGCCGCTTTTTGTGTGCGTGAAGCTCACTGCTTCGCTGTCGCTCGACTCAGGGTGGCCACGGGCAACCGTGCTTTCCACCACTTGGAAAACATTAGCAAATTTGTGTCAGCCGTTGGTGATCTCGGCGTGCGCGCTGCTGACCGGTATGTTGGCCTCATCGTAGCAACGCCGCATGCCAGTCTTCCAAGCGTGCTCTGATTATTAGCGTCGAATCCATTCTCCCGCACGCCTTGGAGCCTGAAGCTGACCACATTGCTCTTCCTCCGTTATTTTTTTGGACTAGATTTGATGGCGTTGACCTGTTTGAAGGCATCAACATGCATCAGGTCACCAATTGCTTGGCATCCTTGCACAAAGTGGCTGTGAGCAAGAATCTCATTAAAGCCTAGAATGGGCATGATTCGACGCGCACGCCCATGTGCCGCTTGCGCGCAGAGCCTCGCCCATCTCCCTTTAGCACTCGTCAATGGTCCTTCTTTAGCTAGGATGGACTTGTTCAGATTGTTATAGCTCACCCAGCTTGAGGTCGTCTTTTTGTTTTCTGTTCTTTACTTGATCTGAGGGCGAGCTGGTTGTGGACCTCTGTTTGCGTTGGTCCTTCTCCACCCCTCGTCTTGTTGATATGACAATTCTTGCCGGCACGAGGTTGCCCCTCTCACTTGGGTCAGATGCCTCGCCTTTGACTGGCTCTATTTGATCACGCCAAAAGTGAGCAATTTATTTGTCTTGCTGCGAGTTTATGGCTTGTTTTGGTTCTGAGTCACCATGGGCGTATCGGCTAGCAGGCCCTTTCCCCATTTCCCTCTTTCCACGTGCGCGGGGGGGGGGGTACCATGGTCGTTTAGGCACGATCTTGTTTTGTGCTGCAAATTAGCAAAGGCAGTATCCACACCACACCACGATGCCGTGCAAGAAAACACCCTTCTTTCTTATTCGGGAATGTCTGCACCCTGACCGCTCCCTGCGCAAATGAATCAAATGCATTCGGATGATGGACCAAGATTTGCAAATGAAATTAAAAAAAATTAATGCGGTTTGTCAATCAAGTGTTGTTTTGAGCAGGGATCGAATATTAAGCGAGTCCCGGGCAGGGGGTTTTTTAGGTCCAAACTAGTACGTGCACGCGACACGGGCATGTTATGCCATGCGTATTGCATCTTCCAGGCAGGAGTGTGGCAACTTAAAGCAGCGATGCGCGAAGCCGCACCTGATGAGTAGAAAAATAATTTGATAACGACGAAAATGCCCAAAAATTCGACAGAAATATTTTTGACAAGTCAATCGACAAAAGTCAGCAGCGCGGACGTTGGGGTTGACACCCTTTATTCGATTGGGGGTTGAATCAATCACCATGCTTCATCAAGTGAAAGCCAGATGAAAACAAATTTAAAAGGAAACCCAGATCAAGGCCGAGAAAAGAGCGAGCCGAGTCATTTCAGCCCAATGATAACAGCTGTCTAATGAAATCACGGCTCTTTGGGAGCACATGTGAGAATGTCCATCATTGCGCCGGCGCGACGACGGAGGCTGGAAAGCGCCCTGATTTGTCGTTCTGAAGATTGGTTCCAAACCACCGCCCAGGTCCATGGCCTTCAGTGGCCACAACGTGAATCTGATCTCCCTCCTGCCATGCAAGATGCCACGCAAGCAAAAAGAGTGAACAACATTGACACCGAAGCGTGCAAACAAACTGTTCGCATCGAGGTAGTTTTGTTTTTGTTTGTTGAGTGTTGTTTTTTTTGCAAGACAGAGGGCCAGGACCGAAAAAAAGCACGTACGCGGAGGCTCATTTCACTTGCATCGGCTGCCTTGTAGTTGCGCAGGACGCGCACACGATGCTCCGGCGTAAACTCTGCATCGCATAGCAGATGCAATGTAAGCAGAGACAGGGACCCGCGAAACAACGGGGCACGAACACCAGCGTACCAATCGAGCCCGAAGGAATGAGCAACGTCGTGTCCAGATCTTCGTAATGGGAGGCCAGCGACTGATGACGGTAATGCTTCACCAATTGCGGAATGGTGTCAAAGGTTGCAGCCATGCCCAACATGTACTGATTGTTGGCGGCGTGGATTCGCAGATGCTTGACGGTCTGTCCAAACTTGACGACAAGGCGATAGGCACCCTTATCTGGCGTGCGGCGCACGCCAAAGCTACCTTGCGGTAGGCCCACAAATCGCTGATGCGCCTCTGGTTTATCCATTGGCCCCAGGTACCTACAAACAAACGCAGTCCAAATATGATGCCGTCGACGGCGCAAGCCATGGTCATAGGCCAAGGAGTGGTGCATGCAGAGTTGGAGAGACGTCAAATGAGAGCTCCAGAGAAACAGCGAGGGGAGCAAACGTACCAGTATTCAAACTCGGGCATAAAAGCGCGAAGGCCCTGTTTGCGCTGCATGGAGAGCCCGCGCACGGTCGCAGACTTTGGCGGGCGCGGCGGGGGCGGGGCAGTGCCACTGCCACCGTCCAAATTCAACGGTGGTGTCATGTTGTGTCCAACGTGCGTCATACGACGGTCCTAAAGACGAACAAGCAATGCAGGATATCAGACAAATTGTCAAGGGCCGTATCCCCTTCTACAAGGATGCAGCGCCACGACACTCAAGGTCGAGCCCTCACGGTGACCAACCGGCTTGCGAAAAAAGTTGATGGGAATCAAGCCCTGCTCCATTGTCCCCATGTGCTGGCCCCGCCACCAGTTGCCCGGGGCGCTTTCCAAAACTTTCACGTAATCACCTCTCTTAAAGGCCAAATCCCCCGCCTGTCGTTCGCGGTGATGCTCAAAGCTGTGCACGGCTTCCAGAATGTCTCCGGGAGCCATGTTGGCGGTGGCGGTGGGCTGCACACTACTGCCACCAGCGCTGCTGTCCAAGCTCGCGCGGCCCATCTTGGCGGCCAAGTTGTGAACGCCTTCAGGAATAGGTTCCTCGGTAAGGGCACCCGCGGCTCCCGGCACCTGGAAGGGTGCCACTGTGTGGCCACTGCGCACACTGATGGTGGCGTTGCGCGACGTCCGCGATTGTGTCTCAGAGCGTGGCACGCGACGCGATTGCACAGCCTTGAGCGACGATTCCGCCTCTTGCACCGTGTAGCGGCGAGCACGGCGAGACATGGTTGCAGGGTGCGGATTGGAGCATTTGCGCTCCGCCTGCCGAGACAACGTTGCCAATACGATGAGTGCCAAATATACAAGGAAGGGCACCAAGAGAAAGAAAAGAGAGAAAACAAGAGGGAGAGAGAAAACAAGAGGGAGAGAGAAAACAAGAGGGAGAGAGAGAGAGAGAAAGAGAGAAAGAGAGAGAGAGAGACAGAGAGAGAAAGAGAGAGAGAGAAAGAGACCTAGCACTCGGGCTGGTACCTTGGCAACGCAATCAATGTGGGCTGCAAAATTACAGCCTCGGCAAGTCACGCCTTGGTCAAAGAGGCCCCATAAGATAAGGTCACACTGTTGACAGCGCAGTCCCGGCTATAAGAGCGAAACATTTTTGCAAAGATGAATATCAGCATCCACCCGAAGAGCCAAGTAGAAGGACATGCCCCTACAAGGAGTTTGGCGATGACCACTCGTTGCAGAATCGTGGCATGGTACAAAAGGTCCAACCTCAAATGGCGTGACCTCAAAGCGATGGCCACCGCGCGCTCGCCGCGAAGTAATTCCCGCCCTGATCAGCAACCAATCACATGAGACAAGGCAACGGACGAGGGCAAGATGGTTGAGCTGTTCAAAATGGCAGAATGTACACGTACTGCTTGCCCACAGTGCTCAAGGCCTGCATCCATTCCTGCTGCTCCACTGGATTGCGCAGCTGAATCAAGCAATTGAAAGGATGATCTAAGGATAACAAGCAAGGGTGGAAAGGCCCATCATCATCAGAAAAGAATGTCAAATTGAGTTTTGGACACTGCGCATGGCTTCAAGCAGTTACTGGCGCTGTTACAGATGCGGTTAACTGCTTCAGCTTTTCGTGTCCGTGACTACGTTTTGCCAGAAGCTGCCTTTTCAGCCTGCCGTAGACCATGCTTACCAGATGGGTGTGCACTGTGCAAACGAATGGCCAATGGCTGACCACGGATGGTCACCGAATCAGCCTGCGGACCACAAGTTCACGGTAGCATGCAGTTAGGCGACACAAAACACCCATCATGACGGTCCATACGAGCTCAGCATCATGATGGTCATATCGTCACGAGCAAGCGCGAAGAGCAAGACTTACCTTGAAGTTGGCAATATTCATGGCATATTGTAAGTTGTAGCGGCTGCCCTTGGGCTTGCAGACAAGCAGAGCTCGCATGAACAAAAACGCATAACTGTGTGTCCCATACAAAACGTGCACCATCAGGAGGGTGCAAAAGAGCGCCATAAGCATGCACAGAATGGGCGGTGAGCAACATGTCGAGAGGGACAAGGTCATCATCGGTGCGGGGGCGATTGATGCCGGAGCCCGTGGGGCACGTTGGTCCCACAGCATGCGCTCTGTATTGACTGACCGTCGTTGAGCGTTCTTGGGATCCGAGTCGAGCGTGATCCGCAGGTCGGCATCAAGCAGTTTGTGGCCGTATTCCACCTATTCAGTCCAGCGTAAACGGAAAAAGCCATGAGCGTTGCATGTAACTTGCATTGCATTTGAGCTGCCACACGACAAGCACACGAACGACACGCCAATCTATCACCCTTGCGCCAGGTGCATGGGCAAAAGGCTCACCAGCGGGATGTTGGAGCCCTCTCCCACATTGTAGTCTTTGAGAGAGTTTTGGATTGAGTCAATCTCTTCAATGTTCTGCGAGTCATTGGTGCTCGCATCAATGTGCTTTGCAATGTCCTTTGAAACAGACACGTGTGCAGGGCGTGAGTAACAGTGTAGCGCACGAATTCATGAGGTCATGCAAGGTGTGGGTGCATGGCCACCCTCTGCGCACCTTGACGGTTGTAATGGCAGCCTTGATGTTGCGCTTGGCATGAACATCGTGCTCAGGCAAGCGCTTTTGAATCTCAGAGAGGAGCAAGGGGTACTTGAGAAAGCGCTGGATGGGCAACATGAGGAGATCTTTCAGTTTGAAGCGCTGATTGCTAAAGGACACCAGTCGGTCTAGTGCCGCCTTGACTTCAGACTTCTTTTGGAGCTCCTGATGGAGGCGAGCATTTTCCATATTGGGGTCACGCGCATGAGAGGCACGAATACAGGTTGAATCATTCCGAGTTTTTCGGCCATCGAGAGACAAGTGCAAATGGACGGAGAACATAGCAAGCGGCAAGCAACCTGCAGACCACATGTTGCGACTCACGTCAAGTAGCTGGAGCGCAGCGGCTTGGCCAATGGCATAATCTGCGTAGCTAGAAAAGGTATCTCGGCGCTGAATAAAGCAGTGGCTAGAAGAAGCAAAGCAGCAAGATTGGCGCAACCGGAGAGGCATATTGGGTTGAGGGTTAGTTGGTTGGCGGGAGGCTTGTGCGTGCTTGCGTGCCAGCGGAAGTGGGAAAAAAAACCTTACGCAAGTTGGTCAGGATGGTCAACAATGTCCTTGTAGAGTTGGGAATGAAGGGCCTCGAACTCATCCAAATGTGAAAACAAGGTATCCAGTTCTGATGAAACGTAAATGTGAAGAGGAACGAGGTGAGTGAGCTCCATGAAGTTGGTGCTTTGTGCAACGCAGCGCACTACTCACGGGCTTGTGTGACGGGGGGATCGGGTTGGTACACCAAGACAGCAAGAGGCTTCTTGAAATCTTGAAGCATGGTGCGTAGACCCTGGACAATGGATAAGCATCCCACGCCCGGAGAGTGAGCAGGGTGATGCACAGTTTGGGGAGGCAGATGTGATCACACGCACATCAATGTAGTTTTTCTCCGTCTCCTGGACTTCTTCAATTGCCATCCTGTTCAAGTGTGAGGCATGTCAAGACGGGCGAGGTTTCAGAGCGAGGTTTGGGCAAGAGTATGAGGTGGGAACAAGAAAGTCAGTACGCACTGGAGCTTGTCCACATGTTCGGGTTCAGCTTGTTTGTGGTCACTGCCGGGTTGGTGTTGGTGGCGGTGGCGGTGGGCCAAAAAAGGATGTGCGTGAGGTGAGGGGTCACGGTCGGGGGATCGGCACAGTGAAGCGCACATAGCGACGGTTTGGCCAGATGTTGATGGGGCTGAAAACGTACACATGGCGAGCCACGATAGCGCCGTAGATGTCTTCGTTACCAAAGTCCACCTTGGTCTCGTAGTCTGATAAGGCATCCTAGGAGAAATCGCATCAGCGCATATTGGCTGAGTACCTGTGTATCCATGATCAAGGATAAAAAAAAATCGTGAAAGACCGACTGAAAAGCACTACCTCATCGTCTTTGTTGTTCATGTGTAGCAGGGGGCTCCTAAGGGTCAGCAAAAAGCAACGGGGCAAGGAAGGCATTCAAAAGGGTTACGTCGCAGCCCCGAGTCCAAAAGTTCCACTGTCAGGGTGCCCGAGCCTTATTGATTCGCACCGTGGGGGTTCCGTGCTGGGCTGTCGGGCAATTTGCGACTCGAGTGTTGCGTAAAGCTGCAGGGTTGGGGTATTCAGGAGACGAAGAGGTAAGCAAGGGGGGAGGGGTGGGGGGTGGGAAGCAACAAGGTGGAGGAGCGCCGGGTCGTCGAGGCAAGAAATTTGCTGGGCGTGAAGAAGAACCTACACTTTCGAGCTGGAGACTGGATGGCGCTTGGTGCTGCCGAGGGAAGACGCTGTATGTTGGTGAGGGAGATGACGTTGCCAAGAAGTGAGAGCAAGGATCGCTACCATTGGGTGGGATGTTCCGGTGGGGTGAGTTGGTAAAATCACTGGATACTTGGGACATACGGAAGACGGGCAGCGCGAGCGGCCTGGGTTTGGGAGACCAGGCTGAGGGTGGAGAGGACTTGATCAAACTGGTGACCGTGGTAGAGCTGACCAGCTTCAAAAAGTTGATCCTGTCAGAGGTTTGGTGAGATGGAATCGCGCGCACGCTCGAGTAGCGGGCATGGCTTGTT